CGGCGGTGGTACGGTATATAAAAAATATGCCGCCCACTTTCAAAGCAATTTCGCGTGCCCGCGTCTTTGTCCGTCGCCGCATATGATTTCCACACGTGCCCTTGCCCACAAGGTTCTGCTCGGCTCGAGCTCAAATGTAGCACGGACTCTTCATGTATCTGCAGTCCGGAAATACTATATTGAGGGTTCTCATGAACCTTTTGCTCCTGTTCCAGGCCGCTTTCCCCAGTGGGCGACAACTGGAGAGCAGGCGTTTAGTCATATAACTGATGGTACTTCAAAATTTTGCTCTTCTAATTGAATAAAAGGTGCAAAGGTTTTTGTCCACGGTGGTGCGGCAACACCGTCTCTTTTGGTGACAGAGCTTCACAAATATGTTATGGGCAAAGGCATTAAGAACGTACAGCTCTTCCACATACATACGGAGGGACCATTCCCCTTTAACGATCCTGAATGCGTTGGCCACTTTCGTACAAATTCACTTTTCACTGGTAGGACTGTTTTTTAATACCCGCGTTCACACTCACAGGTCGGAATTGCCGGGAGGCTATCGGTGCTGGGAGAGCCGACTTCACCCCGATCTTCCTGAGCGAAATCCCACTTCTTTTCCGCCGTAAACACGTTGAGCTTGATCTTGCGATCGTTAGTATTACTCCACCTGACAAGCATGGATTTTGCTCTCTGGGACCGAGCGTCGATGTCACTCGATCTGCCATTCAGAATGCTAAATTCATCGTGGGTAAGTACTCTCTATTTTATTTTTTTATTTTGCTTTAGGCCAAGTCAATCCTAGCATGCCTGTTACTCGTGGTGACGCAAGCATCCATGTTAGTAACATTAGTGTTCTCATGCACGGCCCCCAACCCCTCCATGAACTGCATGCCCGAAAAATCAGCGAGGCAGAGAATCAGATTGGAAAGTATATTGCCGAGGAACTCGTTCCAGATGGTGCCACCATGCAAATGGGTAAGCGAAAGTTTCTGGCGTTACTTTTTCGATCGTTTTTATGCCTCGAATTCCGCAATAGTTGTGTTCCTTTATGCTTTGTGCACGTATGCTTGTGGTTTTCGATTCATTTAGTATGAGCTTTTATACTTAGGTATTGGATCCATCCCTGATGCTGTCTTGTCACAGTTGACCAATCACAAACACCTGGGCGTTCACACTGAAATGTTCTCCGATCGTCTCGTCGATCTGGTCAAACTGGGTGTGATTACCAATTCAATGAAAAAGATGCGACCGGGCAAGATTGTGACCAGTTTCGTCATTGGAACCAAGAAATCTTTCGATTTCCTGGACAATAATCCTTTCGTCGGTAAGTTAGGCCTCATTATAAAAAAAGCACAACTTTCATGACCAGCCTTCATCGATCCTATTGTTATCCTCTTCTTAACTACTGTTGTCCATGAACTCGGATTTTACCTTTTGTCA